AAATGTGGTCGAATTTGTCAGGGGCGTGGGGGAAAGATAGTCACATACACAGTTGGTCACAGTCCACAGGGCACCAGCAGGAATGGCTATACCCAGTGGGGCAGTGTTTTCCTGGAAAATTGTATCAGTTATCTATTGCTATATAACAAAGGACCTCCACACCCCTCAATTATTTATTATCTTGAAACAACATCCATTTATTATCACTCATGTATCTACAAGTCGGGTAGAACTTAGCTTCCCCAGGCTGGGCTCCACTGAGTCACCTGTGCTTCGTGTAGTTCTCCTTTTCCTTGTACTACCTGGCTAGCCAGGGCATATTCCTCCCACGGCAATGGTAGAGGATCAAGAATACAGGGGGCAAGTGTGAGTCCCCCTAAGGTCACTTCCACACATATACCATTGAACAATGCAAGTCAGATGGTCGAGGATTGAGGGAATATACTCCACCTATGATGAAGCCAATGCAAAGGTATGGATGCAAAAAAGAGTGGAGACTCTCCTACCAGGACTCTATCTGTCTACCAGGTAGACAAGGGTCACATGAGGAAGAGGCAGCCAAAGAGAAAGATTTGTTCCAGCACCTATAAGAAACGTTCCCACCCTGGAAATGGTATGAACCAACTGGAGAAACCTTTGAGTTTCTTTCATGTAACCTCATTAAAAGGTAAGAGTCCCCTCTTTCACGTAACGTTATCTTTCATGTAACCCCATTAAAAGGTAAGAGTCCCCTCTGCCTTGGTTTCTCTGCAATGCTCAGAGCTCTCCCTTCCTCTGACTGTCAGCCTTCTATTTGTCCTCATGCAAATTGTCTTCATGGTAGCAAGATGGATGCAGACTGATCAGAAGGTATTCCCTCAATCGTCCTAGAATGATCCAAAGTTGCCTGTGGAAAAGATAAACCAAACGTGGCCAAGTAAGGACATGTGTGGACTATCTCAGGGATGCATTACTCCCTTCCAGGTACCAAATCATTACAGCAAGCATGAGATTACACTGTCAGCCCTCCTCAACTCTTATATTTGTTACACAACAGGGTAGAGTTGATTCTACAAATGAAAGCATGGGGGCTCTTAGGAAGGGGAAGGGGGTAAAGAAAATGGGAAAGCAGGCATCCAGTGTCCACTGGAAGCAACCAATAAACATATTTCCTGTCCTCATGGGAACTTAGAGTCTAGCTGAGGTGAGAGCGATTAATGGCCACAAAAACATATCATTACAAACTGGGGTAACTGCTACAAAGAAAAGAAATGAAGAGGGTGCTATTGGGACAGATACCTGCGGATTCCCCTGGATGAAGAGAGAAGGCAGAGATAGAAGGGTGAACAGGATAAACTAGGTGGAAGAGATTGTACGTGGGAGACAGGGAACTGACGTGGTTAGAGCACCCCAGGAGCGGGAACAGGCTCCTGGACCAAAGGGATCATGGCACCAAAGGCAGCTGGGAGAGTGCCGGTGTGGCTAGAGCTCAGAGATGAGGGGGAAGACATGGGAGGGGGCGCGGTAGAGGGGGCTGGGCCATGCAGGAAAACCCTTCATGAGGTATTTTATCTTTATCCGAAGAGAAGATGGAATCTCGAAAGGTCTTAAGTAGAGAAGGGGCATAACTTGACTTCTGTTTCTTTCACTCCCATGCGCTTTGGAGAATGGGCTGGAGTTGACAAGAGTGGAAACAAGAGGCCTGTGACAAGACAACAGAGGTAGTCCAGGCAAACAAAGCTGGGGGATTGCAGATGGAAAGAAATACATAGATCTGTTCGAGAAGCAAAATCAGCAGGACTTGGTGAAAGATTGGGGAGGAAGACCAGGTTAGTAATCTCTGAATCTTGACCCTGCTTTCCATTAAGGACATCCTGATTTTTCTACGACCCTTATTCAATCGTCTGAGGAAGGCACACAAGTTGTCTTGGCAGCAAAGACTATAGAATGGACTCCAAGCCCAAATCCACCTGACACTGCCATGAACCCTCACTCGGCCAGCTCAGTGAGGTATTAACTACATGGGATTGTGGAATCCCAGGACGTGGGATTCCATCTTTGATCCTCATGAGCAAGAGAACTTCAGTGACCTATTTTAATCTCTTAAACTTCACTTTCCAGATCCATAAAATGTGGATTATAATACCCACAACTTGGGGTGGTTTTAATCTGGGTTGATTTAGGCAGATGATACTTTGCAAAGGGTAAAGGACTAAAAAATGCTAGTTCAGCTGGTACACTTACAAGGAAAATCATTCTGAGAGTACCTTTATCTAGTACAGTGGTTTCTGGCAATGGCTTGTTCTATATTTACTTAGCTCAAAAAAGGGAAATTGATTCTTGGGTCTTTGTTGTGATGTTACATACCTATGTATGTAGGGGACAAAACCTCCCTTTGTGACTTGTCGCTGAAACCATTTCAAGAAGAGCACAAAGTATCCTATTTTGGGGACAGTTTTCTCCACTCAGAAAACCTGCCATCAATGACCTGTCACCTTGTCTATAGTCCTCTTTGATGAATTACACGGGTGTTGAAGCCACAGGGGAGCAAATGTTCCAATGCACAATGGGATCAAAAGAGGCCGAGCGAAGGGCAGGATTGGTCCCAAGCATAGGCCTAGTGTCAGAAGGGCAGTATTTCAATTAGAGATGACTACAAATAGTTAGGCAAAAAAGGAAAATTCATTGACATGAAACAGAAAAGATCGGGGCTATGGCAGACTGAAGTGCAGCTGGATTCTGGGACTCGAACAATGTCGCCAGCTTCTGTCCATCTTGTACTTCTGCTGTGTTGGCTGCAATGCAGACAGACTTTGCCCTCATGCCCTTCCGGGTTCACATCCAAGAAAAGAAAGACATTCTCTTCCAGGTGACTCCTGGGCAAGTCCTGGGCTTCACTCTGATTGGACCAACTTGAGTCAAATGCTCATGCTTCAACCAATCAGTTGGCCAGAAAGACAGAGCTCTGCAGCTTGGGTGATTCTAGATTGCATGCCCATCAGTGGCAGAAGGGATATGGGCTGAGAATGGGGAAAAAGATGAAACCCAAAGAGAAATCAGGGACTACTGTGTGGGAGTGGTGCTGGGAATTCCTTATAGACAGGCATGAGAGCCTGCCTCCCTCTTTCTCCTGTGAAAACACTGGGCCTACCCAGAAAATCCGGTTTAATCTCTCCATCTCAAGATGCTGAACTTAATCACATCTGCAAAGTTTCTCTTATCAGGCAAGGAAACCTATTCACAGGTTATAAGGATTAGGCCACTATTCTCTCTACCAAATTACCCTCTAGTTGTTAGTTGGGTTCAACCAATGGGAGGCACCTGCAGGTGATTGGAGGGTAGAAGGAGAGAGAGAGAGAGAGAGAGAGGTCCCCCTTCCCGAGTGCCCTCTCTGCCAGGCCAGGTCTGGTGTAGCTGCATTCCTCAGTGGCCGCAGCTCCTCAGTCTGTCCCCACAGCCTTTCAGCTTTGACAGACTCCCCACACCCCATTCTCTCCTCTTGCCCTTTCAAACCCATGGGTGGTAATGGCTCCGGCTGTTGCCAGTCTTTGGATGCCTCGACATCCCTTGTTGATTCTCAACTGAAACCATACTTCTTCTAAGAATGGAGGATTATTAAAGAATCTTAAGCCATTTGAATTGGATTGTTTCCTGCTAGGACCTTGACTTAAGCCACCTTTAAAACACTGTTTCTCCATGATTTTTTTCCCCTCCACATCAATACCTTCCCCTCCTTCTCCTCTGCCTACAAACCAGCTCAGGTTTCCCCAAACTTAAGATGAAATACCTAAAAATACCATGGTATTTCTTCCTTCTTTACCCCACCAACCTTCTTAAACAACTGATCTGCACACACATGCATACTCTGTCTCTGAATCTGGTTTCATTCCCTCCCTGAAAGCTCCTGAACATTTCCCTGTGAAGGTCACTCAGGACATCCTATTTCTCATTCCCAGTCTCTGGGAGACTTTCAAAGAGAATACTTATTCTCTACCTCTGGAGTGTGAGATACGAAACTTCACCCATATCTTCTGTCTGTTCCTTGTACATCTGGGCCCGTCCCTGATGGACTGATCCCACTCCTGCTTCTCATTTCATCATGTCATCATCTGTGAGCCCAAGACTCTGGCAGCTCAGAGTCCTGTCTACACCTGTCCCTTGGTCCTCTGCACCTGGACAGGGCCCCTCCCCACCTCCCAGATGGAGCTCCACCTTCAGCCACTGCTCCCTGTCCCATGCTACTGATTTCCATCTGGACATTCCTGACATTTTATGGATGTACTTCCACGAGACTGAAGCCCAGGACATTGTCTTCCCTCCCGGCTCCTCTTCCCTTGGTGTTGGTGTGCACCTGCCCTCGGGCGGACAAGCTGCCTGGAGGATAGATGATGGTCAAGTCACCTGAAGGAAGGTTTCCAAAATACAGATCTCTGGGCCTCGCCCATGCCCCACTAAATTGGAATCTCAGACATTTGTGTTTTACCGATTTACCCAGGTGATGGATAAATGGTGCTTGGGAAATCCTGGTTTAAACAACCTACCGAGATAGCTTCACTGTCCAGTACACTTTTACACTAAATTCTCTATTCTAATAATTAAAAAAAAATAAATTAACAAAGCAAAGCAAGACAGTTTCTTGTACATTGTATCCACTACAGGTACTTGAGATGGTACTGGCTTGACAAGAGAAACTTCATGTACATTAAGTAGATATTCATGTACTTGTATTAACCCCTGTGTCCAACTCAAATGACCCATTTGGCAACAAGAGCAAGTTCACAAGGGGTGTTAGGGTAAATGAATAAGAAATGAAGAAATAGGAAGGCTTCAAAAAGATAATTATAAGTTCTTCATTTCTTATCAAAACAAAAAAACCCTTAGTAATATAAACAGAATGGAAATCTTCAGGACAGGATCTCAAGACATGCAAAGATCCACATCCAAGTTAGTCAGCTGCCTTTCTAACTAGCCTTTCATTTCCCCCAACTTTGTTAGCCTATGTTTGTTTTCCCAAGATTTACCAGATACACTCTCCCTTCGTGAGCCATCCAGAAGCTTGAGAATGTTCTCCGGCTGCCTACATGTTCGTCTTGAAGGTAATATTCCACTGACCACTTTTTTAAGAGCTCTGTCCAAACTTTTGTCTCTATAAATAACTCTGGTGGACTTTGGTGCTTGTTTTCAGCCGCTCAGAAAGAAATATTTCATGCTCCCTTCTAATTTCCATGGTTGTTCTTCCTCCAGAGTTCAGACAAAAAAGAAAGGGGAAAAATCTTAACATTAACACAGCTATATATATATACATACATATACACATACACACACACATATATATACATATATACACGCACATACATATATACACATACATACATATATATGTATATATGCATGTATATATGTATGTGCGTGTATATATGTATATATATATATGTATGTGTATATATGTATACATATATGTGTGTGTGTGTGTGTGTGTGTGTGTGTGTGTATAACCTCTAAGTTTTGGATGCTAACCAACTCCAAACTTCAGAAATCGGGAGCCAAGTTTGCCCTGGGCTGATTAGTAATAAATCAGTTCTTCCTCCATGCCCTGGAAGACTATCGAGGGCATTGTCTTGATCCCCTATAACAAGTACACAGACTGAGTGACATATAAACAACAAGCAATTTATGTCCCACAGCTCTGGAGGCTGAAAAGTCCAAGATCAAGGTGCGGGCAGATTCTGTGGCTGCCGAGGATCCGCTTCCTGGTTCACAGATGACCTTTTTTTTGCATCCTCCCACTGCAGAAGGAGAACCACCTAGCTCTCTGGCCTCTTCTTCCAAAGGCATCCATCACGTTCATGAGGACTCCACCCTCATGACCTAATCACCTCCAAAGGCCCCACCTCCAAATACCACCACATTGGGATTAGGGTTTCAACATGTAAATTGAGGGGGGGGACACAAACATTCAGTCCACTGCAGACGGTGTCTGTCTCCCTGTGCTCTGACTGTCCTGGTCTGGAGTCCCCTGCCAGCCCTCTCTCTGCATCTAAGCAGTGTCATGGGCCCAAGGCTCTTGGGTGCCTGCCCAGGCAAATGAGGCTGGGGACACAGATCTCGTGGAGCTGGAAGCCTGCCTCTCCCCCTCCAGTGCAGACCAGACCAGACCAGACCACAGAACAACTCTGGCGTGGCGGGAGCGTCTGCCTCTTCTGCCAAGCGCCAGGCAGCAACGGACTCCCAGCCAACATCCACGTCATCTTGCCTGCCTTTTGCAGGTGATAGAGAAAAGGCGCTGCTGTGATGGATTCTGACCCATTGCCTCCTTTGGCTACAGGTGAGAACTGCTTCCAACGCAGGAGAATCTGCTGCCCTCAAGTATAGAGCCAGTCAGAAGTTTCTCATGCTGACTCCTCCCTCTGGGATGGTGCCTCTCCAACCCCATCCAGGTGAGGCCTGAAGATCCTAGAATTCCCATGCTTGACAGAGCCTTCAAAACTGTCTCAGCAAGGGATAGAGGCAGGACCAGGGCTCCCAACTCTCAACCCTGTGCTCTTTCCATGAGTGCATTAGTCCGGGCTCTCCAGAGAAACAGATGACACATAAAAGTCACCAGCACAACAGGGCACTCCCACTTTGGAATCGGAAGCCTATCAACTTAAAGCAGCTTCACTGGGGCACATGAAGGTCTTGTTCAGCACCAACAGAGGCTTGCTAAGCTTGCCTCGACCCTCAGAAGGAACACGAAGCAGGCGTGTGCTGTTCTCCCATGTCCACTCGATGTTTCTTTGGAACGTTCTTCTGCCCCCAACCCGTGAGGGCGGCTTATGGGCTTATCAGTCATGGTGCCCTGCCCACCTGCCATGGGAACCAGATAGATTGAGCTATCCTTTCTACCCGTGGTGGGCAGACTAATGGCCTCCCAAATTTGCCACATCCTAATCCCCAGAACCTGTAAATGCGGTGCCTCACATAAGGAGGAATTAAGGTTGCAGATGGCATTAGGGGTGCTAATTAGCTGACCTTCAGATAGGGACAGTAACCCGGGTTATCTAGGTGGGCTCAAAGTAATCACAAGTGTTCTTAACAATGGCAGAGGGAGGCAGTTAGACCAAGCAATGTGAGGATGGAAGCAGGGTCAGAGAGACGCTTCGTCGCTGGCTTTGAAGATGAAAGGGGCCCGGGCCAAGGAATGTGTGCAGTCTCTAGAAGACGGAGAAAGCCAGGAACCAGATTCTCCACTAGCGCCTCCAGAAGAAATATAGGCCTGCCCGCACCTTGACTAGAGCCCAGTGAGATCTATGTCTGACTTATAAACTACAGAACCATAAGATAAGAAATTTGTGGGGGCGCCCGAGTGGCATAGTTGGTTAATCATCCGACTCAGGTCATGATCTCACAGTTTGTGGGTTCGAGCCCTGCATCGGGCTTTGCGTTGATGGCGTGGAGCCTGCTTAGGATTCTGTCTCTCCTTCTCTCTGCCCCTCCCCTTCTGGTGCTCTCCCTGTCTCTCTCAAAATAAATAAACTTAAAAAAAAGGATAATAAATTGGTGTTGTTTTAAGCCACCAAGTTTGTGATAATTTGTTGCAGCAGCAAATGAATACACTACCCTATCTTCTAGGAACAGTGATTGGTCCGGGAATGGACTTGATATCCAAGAAGGGCCAATAGAGAACCTTTCCTGATGAGTATCTGGCCACTGGAGAGAGAATTCCCTCCCCTGCTGAGGATGTCAGCTGGAATATAGCTCAGTGGGTTGTCTAACTGCATAATTAAGCCAATATTCAAAGAGAGGCCTAAGTTGATAGAGAGAGATAGTACTCTAGATCCAACCTTGCCTGAAACACCCAGACTTCCCAGTTACACGACCGACTGAGTTATCTTTTGGGCTTAAGCTAAAGTGAATTGGCCATTTGTTGCTTGCATCTGAGAAAGTCCTGGCAAACATGGAATGCCAGCAGTAACTGGTCCTGTGATTCTTAGCTTTTTTTTTTGGCGGGGGGGGGGGGCGCGCGGGTCGTAGATTGCTCTAAAATTCTAAAAGAAAATATGAATAGACGTGACATTTCTTGAGAACTAAACTGCTTCGTTCCAAATCTGGGCTCCCGGGCTCCAGCAGCACCCAGACTCCTGACCCACAGAAAACTGGGAGAGAAGACGTGGATGTTGTTTTAAGGCACTAAGTTAAGGTAACTTGTTATGCAGCAGTAGATAAGCAATGCACCAGCTCTAGACCATCCTAGAGGTCTCTGAGTGTGAATCGTGAGTCCGTGAGGCTGGGAGCTGCCTCGGGCTGTGACGGCCCCCTTCCCATGTAGAAGGCAGGAGACGTTGATTTGAGGTGGCTGGTGGATTTGCCTTTCACGTACTCCTAGGCAAGATACTGCTTTCAAACTCCCAAACCCAAGGCCACAGATTCTGTGCCATGCTGCAAGCTGTTCTCTGCTTCCTGAGACTTGCACCTGTCAGATATTTCGGATAACTCTAAAATGAGAGGGAACAGTGCAGCTGTGGTTATGTGTTCTCAGCACCCATTCAACCCTTCCCATGGTAATGGCGATCCCAGTTTTCCTTTGGGAGAACACGTTTTTTCTGACTCTCAACCCAGTGGCTTGGGAGAGGGTAACCTCTACCACCCCCCAACCCACTACTCATTTCCAGAAGTGAGCACACGATACTGGTCTGACCAATCATGAATGAGATGGGAAAATTGGGGCAGAGCAGGATTTGGTGGGAGGGGAGGGGGGAATCTCTGTTTGGGAGCTCTGTTTGGACATTCCAGCACTTGAGAAGCCTGTTAGATATCCAAGGGGAGACACCACAAAGGCAGGTGGATGTTCCAAAGGAGAGTCCAAGGGAGAGGTCCAGGCTGGAGCTATGAATTGGCCAAGAAGCAGCCACATGTGGTCAGGATCAGAATGATGAAGCTGGATGAGGTCACCTAGGCAGAGAGGATGGGTAGAGAAGAGACGAGGTTCAAAGCCCCAGCTCTGCGGGACTTCGGCCTTTAGAGAGCTAAGGAATGATGGACACTCAGCAAAGGAGACTGGCTACCCAGCTGCGGGAGGAGGATCCGGAGAGGAATTGTCCCCAAAGCCAGAGAAGAAAGCATATCAAGGAGAACATGACCAACTGTGTCCCGTACTCCTGACAGGGCATGTCAGATAAGGGCTCAGAAAGGACCATTGGACTTAGCCTCAAGGCCGTCCCTGGAAACCTGAAGTGCATTTTCAGTGGGGCAGAGGGACAAAACCCCGATGAGGGTGGGTTCAAAATGAATCAGATGAGAGAAAATGGAAGCAGCAAGTATGGACAATTATTCAAGGAATTCCTTGAGCCCGTCAAGTATTCATTCTTCCTTAAGCTACTGCGAACTGCTTTCTGTTGCCCATAACCACACATGGCCAGACTAACGGAGGAGGCAGACAGGAGGCAAACACCAAAGGAAGGTACTGAATATACCTAACATGCCAGGAACTTCACACACATGGTCTCATTTCATTTTAACTATATATAATAACCCTATAAAGCAGGTGTTCATTATCCTCATTTTAATGAGAAAGAAACTGAGGCCCAGAGAAATGAAATGCCCTTGCATTCAAAGTGGCATTCAAACCCAGATCAGACTCCAGATCCTATAGCACCACTAGGTCAGGGACAAATACTACTGAAGAAACCAGAGAGTCACTGAGGCCCTACTTTTATATTCAGAAATGCACCGTGGTTCTCAAACTTCAGAACCACCTGGAGGGCTTGTTAAAACCAGGTTGCTGGGCCCCAGATCAGCACTGGGTGGCAGGGAGGGGAGAGTCTGCATTTCTAACGGGTTCCACACGCTATTGACACTGCTGGCCCAAGGACCACCCTTTGAGGACCACGGATTCGTACCATCACACACTCCCTTGCTCAGACTCAGGGTGCCTGAAGAGTCCCATTCGGAACTCAGATCTCTCCATCCACCTTATTTCCAAGCTACTAGAGGGAACCTCACAGCACTAGATTGGACTCCTTCAGGCTCTTCCTTTGAGAGCTGACCCCTGGCATTGGGAGGTCATATAGAAGGCACTTAGTTTAAAATGTCCTGTATTAAAGGGCACCTGGGTGGCTCAATTGGTTGAGTGTCCGACTCTTAGTTGTGGCTCAGGGCATGATCCCAGAGTCGTGGGATTGAGCCCCGTGTCAGGCTCGGTGCAGAGTGTGGAGCCTGTTTGAAATTCTCTGTCTCTCCCTCTGCCCCTCTCCCCCACATGTGTACTCTCTCTGTATATATAAAATAAAAAATAAAAAATTATTTTAAAAATGTCTTGTGCTAAAGAAAAAAGCCTTGCATTGTAAGACTCTCCATA